GTGTTTGTGTACAAAAGTGTGATAAAGTGACACTTTAAGGCACAAAAATGAAAGAGATGGAGGATTATAGAGACAAGGGTGTATCTATCTCTTAAGCCACTAAAATTTGAACCTAAGGCATGAGGGAGGAGGTTCTCTCTTATAGAGAACAATGCTCAAGCTTGTTAGACAAGCTTTGGCCTCAAAGCCATCCCTCCATACACGTGTATGGAGGATGGCTTCTGTGCCTTCCAGCTGACACAGCTGGCCTAAAAATATCTCCAAAAAAGTGATGAAAAGCAGCCGACCACTTAAAGTGGTCGGTCAGCTACTTGAAGTGGTCGGCCGACCACCACAAGTGGTCTCCCAAGAAAAAAACTGGTCGGCCATGGTGGGAGAGGGTCTACAACATGAAAACAATGCAGTGGTGTGGTGGCCGACCAGAAAATGTGGCCCAAAGACCAAGAAAACCAGTTGGCCGACCAGAAAACTAGCTGGCGGGAAGGAAAGTGGTCTCCAAGGGGAAGAATTGGTCTCCCACCCTTGTACCACCTTCCAAACAAGGAAAATAAGGTTTGTGCCAAAAACAAACCAAAAAGGATGCAAGATGAAAGTTCGGGAGGCAAGGCTCGCGGCCGGAAGCCTCGAAAACTAGTCTATGGGCATCAAAAGTGGTATGCGACCACAAAAGTGGTCTCCCGGACCACAGTGTCCTTCTAGGCAGAGGCAACAAGGTGTGGTTCAAAAACCATGCCAAACGGAGAAGATTAAGCGGTCCCGAGTCAGGGTGCGCGGCCGAAGGCTCCGAAAACCGGAAACTGGTCTCCAAACGAGAAAAATGGTCTATGACCACGAAAAGTGGTCTACGACCACAAAGAGGTGGTCCACAAGACCTCTCATTTCCTCTAGGGAAGAGAAACAAGGTTCGGTCCATAAACCGAGCCAAAGCACAAAGAGTTTAAAGGCCTAGGCAAGGCTCTCAGCCAAAACTCTGAAACCTCAAAACGAGCACGACATGCACTATCATCGAGCGCTCAATCGATGACGTTTGAATCTTAAAGTCGGTCAAAAATGGGGGTGTCTACACATAGAGAACATTAAGATGAAAAAAATAAACATTATCATGGTTATTACCAACGAATAAAGCTTTATGATCATTTGTGCTTTCAATTGTACAATGTGATTTATCAAAAATAACTCGATTACCTTTATCACATAATTGACTAATACTAAGTAGGTTATGCTTAAGTCCATCAACAAGTAAAACATTTTCAATAGAAGGGTTAGGAGAAATACCGATGCTACCAATACCGATGATTTTTCCTTTCTTGTTGTCTCCAAAAATCTCAAACAAATATTTTTGAATGAGAAATTTCAAATCTCAAACAAATATTTTTGAATGAGAAATTTCAAGTCATAAATATATATTTTTGAATGAAAAATCTCAGATCTGAAACATATATTTTTGAATAAGAAATCTCAAATCTCAAACATATTTTTGAATGAGAAATCTCAGATCTGAAACATAAATTTTTGAATGAGAAATCTCAGATTTGAAATCTTAAACATATGTAAACCCTAGGAGAAGAATCGATGGAAGGAAGAGCTTGAGAGAGAGAGAGAGAGAATACGAAATTGAGATTGTATACAGTGGTGCTCACCTTAGTCAACGATGCAGATGGTGGTGGCGGTGGAGGTTCCAAATCGAGAGAGAGAGAAAAAACTTCGAAATCGAAATCACTCTGAGGTTGAATCGTAATATCTGAGAGTGAAGGGTTTAGAGAGAGAGCCAGCGATCGGGTGAGTGAGAGATTTGAGGGATTGATTTCTCTGAGACTAAAGGTTTCCCAGATTCAAAATGAGGGCTTGAAGAGAGAGAGAGAAGGGTTCTCTGATTCTCACAGAGCCAAGAGAGAGCGAGGAATAACATTATTGTAACACATGTGAAGGCGTTGAAAAAACGACTTCGATTCTCTAAACGGTACCGTTTTATTCAAAATAAAATGCGACGTTTATAAAACGTCGTTAAATGTTAAAAACAGTGACGTTTAAAAAAGCGCCGTTAAATAAACGCCGTTAAATCCTATATTTCCTGTAGTGTCTTCACTTTCTCCCCAAGCTGCTACCATGATCTTCTTGTTTCTTTTGTAGTCTTTTCCATGATTTTTTAATTTTGGACAACCGATCTTCATATGTCCAGGATTTTTGCACTCATAGCAAATAATAGGTTCTTTCTTGTTATTTTTGTTGTACTCTTTCTTGAAAGGTCTTCTTCTTCCAAAATTGTTTTTCTTGAAGTGCTTTTTGAGATTTCTGCTAAACATGGCATAGCTTTCATCATCACTGGAGTTTTCATGTTCTTCTTCATTTGATGAGTCTTTGAATGCAATTCCCCTTTTCTTTTTGTTTTCAACATCCTCATGTCATTTCATGGTGATCTCATGAGTCATAAGGGAACCCATAAACTCATCCAATCCAAGTGTGGAGAGATTTTTGGCTTTTATAATGGCTGTGACCTTTGCTTCCCAATTCTTTGGTAAACACCTAAAAAATTTTCTTACTAACTCACTGTTAGCATAAGTTTTGCAAGAGATTTTAAAGAGTTTACAATTTCAGTAAATCTAGTAAACATACTTGAAATAGATTCATCAGAATTCATTTTAAACAATTCATAACTATGAACAAGCATATCAATACGAGATTCCTTCACTTGATTTGTACTTTCATACGTTACCTCAAGTTTGTCCTAAATTTCTTTTGCCGAATCACAACTTGAAATTCTATTATACTCCTTAGAGTCTAATATACAAACAAGGATGAGTTTGGCTTTAGCATTGACTTGCAATAATTTATGATCTCTCTCATAACATTCATCTTCAGTTTTAGGTACACTAATATTGTCTACTAATTTGGTAAGAATTTTTGGACCTTTGGTGACAATAATTCACATGGCATAATCAGTGGCTTGTAGGTATAGAGGGTTATCTTATCCTTCCAATGACCATAGTTGTTTTCGTCAAACAATGGTAGCCTATTTGTGGCTTGTCCTTCAGCTACGGTTGCCATGGATCGAAACTTCTAAATGGTTAAATCTAAAACAAGAGTCTAGGCTCTGATACCAATTGTTACCCAAAAGACAACCTAAGAGGGGGGTTGAATTAGGTTTTTACAATTATTAATTAATAATACCCTAATAAAAATTATGACTGGCACAATAAATAAATGTAGTTAATGAAATGAAAATAATTAAAACAAGTGTTCTAACAGCTATGTCAGTTAATGATTTTAGCATAGTGAAAATGTTAAATATAGCTACAGCAATTTAAATAAAATAAAAAGGTAAGGGAGAGAGAGACAAACAAATTTATAATAGTTCGGTTTCAACTCGGCCTACGCCCACTCCTTAAGCTTCACTTGAGATTTTCCACTACGCTTTAGCTTCACGGAGATGCTAGCAACCTCTTTACAAATGGAGCAACCTTTTGAATTGCTGTTGTGTTGGGTTGTTTGAACCTTTGTTTTTGAGCTGTTTGAACTCCCGATTTAATCAAATATTAAATACATTCTAACAACATTTATGTGAGAAATAATGGGACAAAATAAATTTTGATTTTATTAAAATATAAAATCATCAAAATAAATGTTGATTTTATTTTTCTCTTTCAAATAAATCATCAAAATAAATTTTGATTATATTTTTCTCTTTTAAATAAATCATTAAAATAACTTTTAATTCTATTTTTCTCTTCCAAATAAATTAAAACATAATTAAATAAATCATCAAAATAAATAAGTCTAACAATCACTTACCCTACCCGACGGACAAGAAAAAGAGAAAAATCCATGTATTTTGGTTGGGTCTCCATAAATACAACATGATAGATTATCTATTGTCATCCTAACCCTAGGAATTTAAAAAAATGGGCTTATAATGAGTATCGCCAAACAAACAAGGTTCGAGTTGTATTTGCTGTTAACCTGGAAATATCCTATCTCATGGGGAGAGGTGGGATAGAAACCATGAGATTGGTATCCCATGGGATTGTTTTTGTGAAATGTCCATTTTACCCTCCATGCTATTACTTAGTAAACAATTAGAAAATGGCAAAATAGTCTTTTGAACATTTATAAATTATTTTTTTAGTGTTGTTAATTTAAAATTATATATTAAATAAAAAATTTAAATTATAAATTAAAAATTAAATTTAATTAAAAATAATAAATTAAAAATTATGGCCTTATAAATTAAAATTTTTAAGTGTTGTTAAAAAATTAAATTTACATATTAAATAAAATTATTTTTTTAGTGTTGTTAATTTAAAATTATATATTAAATAAAAAATTTAAATTATAAATTAAAAATTAAATTTAATTAAAAATAATAAATTAAAAATTATGGCCTTATAAATTAAAATTTTTAAGTGTTGTTAAAAAATTAAATTTACATATTAAATAAAATTATTTTTTTAGTGTTGTTAATTTAAAATTATATATTAAATAAAAAATTTAAATTATAAATTAAAAATTAAATTTAATTAAAAATAATAAATTAAAAATTATGGCCTTATAAATTAAAATTTTTAAGTGTTGTTAAAAAATTAAATTTACATATTAAATAAAATTATTTTTTTAGTGTTGTTAATTTAAAATTATATATTAAATAAAAAATTTAAATTATAAATTAAAAATTAAATTTAATTAAAAATAATAAATTAAAAATTATGGCCTTATAAATTAAAATTTTTAAGTGTTGTTAAAAAATTAAATTTACATATTAAATAAAATTATTTTTTTAGTGTTGTTAATTTAAAATTATATATTAAATAAAAAATTTAAATTATAAATTAAAAATTAAATTTAATTAAAAACCTACAAATTAATTTTTACATTTTTTTATTACACAATTTTTTTATAAAAATTTAAAAAATTAACCCAAATATTTATATTTTTAACCTCAATTTTTTAGTCTAAGAGGATAAAAAATTGCAGTTAAGTACACCCCCAAACAACCCCAAATGGCTGTAACCAAACAAAGAGTTTATTGCACACGTCTACAAAAGGAGACTAGGGTTTTTTTGGGTAGGGCACGGAGGGTACAAGGAGGAGAGAGAGAGGTGCGTCAATTTTAGGGTATAAACCCTAATCTTTCTTGATTGTTCTCCATGGATCTTTGTTTTTATATATAAATTTTGATTTATTGATTGATGATGATTGCGTTTCTTGGAGTGGAAATCATTCATTCATGGTTTCTTTTCTACTTTGTATTTGTTTTGTTTTGATTTGATTTGATCCGATTGATTCATCTGTTTATAGAACTAGAAGAATTTCACAGCCAAAGATGAGGCGTCTTTCTGAAAATGCAAAAACGTGGCGTAAGTTTGGGTTTTTGTATTTTTAATTGTTTTGAATTCGCAGCCTTCTTGTTATATATAAATCAAGTATTGAAACTTTTGTTATTGTGCCAGTTGCGGTAATTCCAGTCGCTATTGCTGGAGTTTATGTCGGCCGTCTTGCTGCCGAGTTGTAAGTGTTATTTTTCTCCCATCTTTAATGGTTTAGATGGATAGGTAGATAGATTAATTTACTAACCATTCAAATATGTTTCAGAAACTAGAAACAAAAATCAAATCAAATAAAAACTGATGGCCTGTCCTTGGATGAAGCGAGGATTTTTGGGTAGTGTTTTTTGATTGGTTCCTTACCCAGCCAAATCCTACGTCATTCTGTTACAATCTTTGAAGAGGATAAGAGAAACTCACTTTTACTAGAAAAGAAAAGAAACATCTATAACTTACTTACGAGAAGACACATACATTGTTGAGAGGCTTTTAAAGAGCTTTCTAAATTGCCATTTTTGGAAAGAAACTATTATATCTTGGGAAGGACCCTTGCTTATTGTTGAGACTTCTTGATTCATGATTTGTATGTAAATAGTTTGCTTTTAATAATTTATCTACGTCGACAATATATGTAAGCTCCTTTACTTGATTTGTCTAGCCATTTTTGGCCTGGTCGAGATACCAATTTTAGTCCTTGTGCATCCTGGAAAACAGTAATCTCAGTAGAACAAAGCTTCAATGAAAAAAAAATTAAGAAGGGAATGAGAGAATCATGACATGATCTCTCTACATTTTCATCTCCGTGTGTGCCTTCTGCTCATGTACAAGTAACAAAGTTCAAATTGAAGAAGTAGATCTCTTCCTCCCACCATCTATTATAAACCATGACCATTATCTAATTTTCTTGCTTTCTTTGGGTTTTCTTTTTGTGGGTCATGTTGCATTCTTTTGTATGGAATAGCACTTGCTTCTTTTTTCTTATTTATTTATTTTTTTTAATATTGATCAATTTGGATTTCCTCTTTGTATCTAATGAGTAGGGGTCTTCTATTGTTTTGTGTTTTTTTGTTAACTACCATATTAAATGGGTCTGAATCAAACTGTAGTCAGTGCATTTTTCTTCATATCAGGACATAAAATGATTCCTGCATACATACCATGTGAACTTTAACTACCATCTATGCCACGACCCAAACCTGTCCTAGAGGCTTAGCTCATGACCGGCCAGTAATTCCAGATTACCTCTAGCCTCAATAACAAAATCATATCATTATATATAATCGAGGGATAGCGAAAGCAATAACAAAATATAATTTAGTTCATTGAGCAGTGCTTACATGGTACCATCATAATAGATCAAGTCATTCATTATGCCATAATATAATATTTACAGTCAAACTTCAACTTTAACTTGATACATATAACTTGTTCCATAATACACAAGCATCAAAAACAAAACAAAAACTTAAACTTCATAAAAGGGTTAACAAAAGCTTGTCTTCTCAAGAGACCAAGTAACACCCCATCACGGAGGCACACTAAACGGCTTCACAAGGGTAGACTCCCGAGGCACCTCTAGACTTGTCGCTCCACTTGCTCACCGACGTATATATAAGGGAGAGGGGTGAGCTGGAGCCCAGTGAGTAATATCAATATAAAGGGTTTGATGAATGAAGACCAATATATCTTGAAACATATTGTTTCGATAATCAAAACAATTCAAATCACATTCATATCAATGCTTTGTGATAACAATAACCATAACCATTCAAATCATAATACGTGGTAACATCCATTAGAGTAACAATATGACAATGTGCCGAAGCCAATAGGACCACAAGAGTCAATTCAATAGGACCGCAACGGGTCAATCAATAAACCTCAATGGGTAATTCAATGTGGATGACAAGGGTCTAACATCAGAGATCTCTGTGTTTCAATTAATTCAATTAGCCATGGTATTGTTTCCCCAGGCGAGGACCTCACTAAAGGATGCCACGATTACAAGTTCAAAAAGGGTCTTCATTCATAGATAGCAAAATAAGATTTCAAATAACATTCTTGACTAATTCAAAATACCGTTTGAACATAGCTTTATAAAGACATTGCTCACAATGGGTTATAAGCTTCAGGTGATCACCTATGCAAAACACATAATAAAGGCACACATTGAAACACATTGTCTTAAATGATTATCGTATCTTAATTCAATTCCCTTATAAGTGGTCCTAATTATTCTATTCCCTAATGATGCCTAAACAATGCCCAAGAATGCCTAGAGGTGCATGAGAATGGAAATATGCATTTAAAAGCATTTTTCGAAAGTTGCTGAAACAGGGCAGTTCGCTCGAGCGCACTGTTGGTTGCTTGAGCGGACCACTTGGTTTGCAAAAGTTTTGGTTGGTCGAAATGTAGGCTCGATGATCGCTCGAGGAAAGTGGTGTGAAGGTGAGTTTGCTCGAGCAGTAATTTCGTCGCTCGAGCCAAGTGCGATGTGTCTGCAAAAATACTAGATGCATGCTAAGGGTTGGTTTGGGGTGTACTAAAAAAGTGCACTTTTTGTCTTTTTACGAAAAGATGTGCAGAAAAGTAGAGAGGTGATGTGATGGAAAAAAGATAAAAAGATAAAAAGATGGATTATATAGTAGATGACAAACAAGGCTTAAGTGCGCTCGAGTGACGACTTCATCCAGTTCGCTCGAGCGCACTGTTGGTTGCTTGAGCGGACCACTTGGTTTGCAAAAGTTTTGGTTGGTCGAAATGTAGGCTCGATGATCGCTCGAGGAAAGTGGTGTGAAGGTGAGTTTGCTCGAGCAGTAATTTCGTCGCTCGAGCCAAGTGCGACGTGTTTGCAAAAATACTAGATGCATGCTAAGTGCGCTCGAGTGACGACTTCATCGCTCGAGCGAAGTGGCCGAATTCTGGAATTTCCAGAACAGAATTGAAGTTCAATAGCATGAATTTAAGTTGCATAACTTGCATGGCTGGTGCCAAAAGCATCAAAACTCTTTGGAAAACATATAAATACAACTCATTTCAAAACCTTTGCCAATTCTCAAAATTAAACTCAAAACCTTGTAATTCTACCATGCATGGATGAAATTCAATTATTTTCTTTCAAAATATGAACATATGAAGTAATGAGTGAAAAATTATGGAGAATCCTTGAAGAGGTCAAGTACAAACTCCATGCATCTATGAATTGTTGGAAATCATGCTTGAAGATGATGAATTTAGCATGCATGTTCTCAATTGACTTGTTTCTTCCATTTTCCTATTAATTACATGAAGATTACTCTAATTATTATATGAATTCAACTCCTACATGAATTATCTACAAGAGATATGATTGTAATTCAAACCTAGAGCTTGTAATTGAAGGTTGGTAGCTTAATTCTCTCAAATCCCTTCTTAATTCTTTACAATTCTTCTTCTCTCTCAAAAGGAGTTGCTCTGTCCCACTCTCTACAATTTCAGCCAAATATGTTGAAGAAATGAACTCCTAAACATGCTTATAACATATATATAGGCTAGATTAGATTAGGCTAATTAAGTAGGATTAAGGCTAATTAATCTAGCTTAAGTTAATTAATCTTATTCAATTCTAATTGATTTATTCTAATTAATTGTTTGAATAAAATTTTAATTAAACTTAGCATATGATTCTAAGTATTCTAATTAGCCTATTGAACTAGTTAATTTCAGTTTCTGAATTCGCTAAGGCTTTCAATTTCATATTTGAAGTAAGCATGCAAACAGATATTCCATAAATGAACAGATAAACACAAGATGAAACACATAATCATGCAAATATTCTCAAATAAATAATATGCATGCTAGGGTCGTCACAACCTAGCTCTGATTTTCTTCTATTTCCTTCGTCAAAGAACAAATGAAGTAATATAGATGCATAGCTTAACCATATAAACTTTCATTCTTTTTGTCCGACTACTAAAGAAAATATGTTCGTGAAACATAGTAAGCTAAATTATTGATCATATTATTGTTAAATATCATTTTCATTAGTTCAACTTAAAATGATGACTGTTTTAATCGTTTAATGCAGAAAATGGGTTCATTTGGTTATATTTTATTTGAATTATAAGTTGTAATACCTATTTAATTATGAATTCACTACAATTTTGCCTACATATTAGAATTATACTTTTTAACAATGTATTTTGTATATTTCTCAAATTAAACGGGTCGTCACAACCTAGCTCTGATTTTCTTCTATTTCCTTCGTCAAAGAACAAATGAAGTAATACAGATGCATAGCTTAACCATATAAACTTTCATTCTTTTTGTCCGACTACTAAAGAAAATATGTTCGTGAAACTTAGTAAGCTAAATTATTGATCATATTATTGTTAAATATCATTTTCATTAGTTCAACTTAAAATGATGACTGTTTTAATCGTTTAATGCAGAAAATGGGTTCATTTGGTTATATTTTATTTGAATTATAAGTTGTAATACCTATTTAATTATGAATTCACTGCAATTTTGCCTACATATTAGAATTATACTTTTTAACAATGTATTTTGTATATTTCTCAAATTAAACCCATTGATTGTCCAACTTATGACGGCATTCAATTGCATGCATGCAGCATGCTTGACTAGTATTGATCCAAGTAGAAATACGTGGCATAATCTATCTAATGTAGACCAAATTCTTGCAACAGGCACAACCAGAAAATTGAGAAGGCAATAGAGGCAATAAAATGGTAGGGTGTACTTTTTTTTTCCCTTCTCAATGTGAACATTATTTTATATTGATTTTAGATTGCATTTGATATTCATGGTTGATGAAATGATTCTACTGTGTAAAGTTGGCCTTGTTATATTATTTAGACTAAAGTTAAATTTGTTAAAGAGACTTTATATTTTCCCAAGAATGCAATGCAGTCTTTTGGGCCATAGATTGGATGCATTGTGATTTGTGTGCTTCTTGATCTCCCTGGTGTCCCCTTAAAAAGGCTCTAGTATTAATGTCTAGTGCAATACTTGGTGTAACTTTTGATATAGCATTAAAAGCAAGATGTGTTGATGGATCGACTCATTTATGTCCCCATAATATTGTTTTTTTCCCCCCCTTCTGCTCTCTCTCTTTCTTGAGCCTTCAATTGAGATTAGTGGTGGGGTGGTCTAGATCATGATGACGTTTCAGCATATTTGAAAGTTTTATTGTGGTACTCACAGTGTATCTTAAGCTTGAGCATATTGAAAAGTTTTAGCATACTTGGTGTATTTTGTATATTTCTCAAATTAAACCCATTGATTTGTCCAACTTATAATGGCATTCAATTGCATGCCTTGCACGCAGCCTGCTTGACTAGTATTGATCTAATTATAAATTCTTGGCGTAATCTAGTGTTAAAGACACTTTATATTTTCCCAACAATGGTATGTTTTTTTTGGGCCATAGATTCGATGCATTGTGATTCGTGTGCTTCTTGATCTCCCCGTTGTCCCCTTAAAAAAACTCTAGTATTAATGTCTAGTGCAATACTTGGTGTAACTTTCGATACAGCGTTAGAAGCAAGATGTGTTGATGGATCAACTCATTTATGTCCATAGTAATCAGAATCCCGATCCGATTGTAGGATCTTACAATTCTATGATTTCAGTTGAGCCAAACAATCCAGATCACACTAGGATCTTAAAGTTATTAAGATCATATTTATAAAATCGTGTAGAATTGCATACGATCCCAATTCTACTACGATCTTGATCTTGACAATTTTTTTTGTTATTATTTATTTCTTGTATATACGTATGTATATTGGCATATCTATATAAAAAATTTGACTGTAAACACTTTTTTCAAATGTCTCTTCTAATTGATGTTAACATAAAAGATGTATTATATTTTTCTTTAATCTTTTTAAAATTACGTAACGTATATTATCATTATCGATAATTTTTCATTTTATTTTACATTGAAGGTAGAATCTTACGATACTTGATCTCATTCTACGATCCGATCAACGAGTTCCTTCCAACGATCTCACGTAGGATCCTGATTTTAACAACTTTGTTTATGTCCCCATAATATAGTTTTTTTTTTCCCTTCAGCTCTCTCACTTTCTTGAGCCTTCAATTGAGATTAGATGGGGTGGTCTAGATCATGATGATTACGTTTCGGCATATTGAAAAGTTTTATTATGGTACTCACAGTGTATCTTAAGCTTGAGCATGTGTCTGAAATAATTTCCAAAGAAGTCAAGTTTTGGGGTTGTACCATTGGGGGTTGTTTCAAAATTATAGGGCCGTGGTTGTTCTCCCTCCTAAAGCTGATTAATGAACCAAGCTAAATGAGCTTGATTCGTGCTCTGCTCGTCAAAATCTTGTTTAAAGCTGAGCTTGGATAACCTACTACTCAAATCGAAAAGTTTGTATGCACTATGAAAAATCAAATTTAATTGTGTATGTCAAGTTACTTGTGCTGTTGGTGTTTGTTTAATCACTTGCAAAAGCAATTCACGTTTGTTTGGAAATATATGGTGTTATCAATATTTGTACTGATGTTTCTTGGCTGCGTTTGATGTGTTTTCTTTCAGCAAGAGTAACAGTGCAAATACAGTTTTCCGAGATGCGGCTGGTTCAAAGGATGGAATTTAGAGCATGCAGTACTCTTTCATTCCGTTCTGAATGAAAATACATTATAAGTTGTTATAAAATAGTGATATGCATATTATATTGACGGCAGTTGTAATCTCACGTATTAACTCGTGTGATACATTACATAAACACATTATAAGTTGTTATAAAATAGTGATGCATATTATATTGACGTTGTAATCTAACGTATTAACTCGTGTGATACATTACTTTATGTATGTTTGGTAAATATGGACTCTTGTTAGTGTGTTCAGATCCTTTAGAGTGATATGCATGAGGTGATTGTGAAGTGAAATGATAAAGGGGCGAGACGTGTCTCACTTGAGGGACGAATGACATACTCCCTCCGTCCCATAATATTAGTCCCTTATTCCATTTTTCATTGTCTCAAAATATTAGTCCCTCTTTAAAAATTAAGTACAAAAATAATATAAATTTCTCATTTTGCCCTTCTTTTAAATTTATAAATAATATAAAAAGTACAATTATGATATTGATATTCCCAAAAAAGTGTACTATCAAAGGGTAATTTTGGAAAATCAAATTTTTAAAAGTACAATAATTGTATTATCAAAAAAAGTTAGATTTCTCAAAAGAACCATTATTTTGGGACGGATGGAGTATTTTCTTTTATTAAATGGACGTCATTTTGGTGAAGGAAAACAAAAAATTCTCAGACACATTCTCAAACGAAGAAACCTTTTTCTTCTTCCTCTTCTCTCTCTCTCTGCCCAGCCCCTTTCCAAGTGGAATGCAACTTCTTTTCTTTCTTTCTTTTGTTTGGTTTTTTGTTTTTGTTTTAAAGTTAAATCTTGTTTTATTTTTTGACTAATAATTTTTTTACATCAAACACACTAGTTACTACTGTTTTTTACATTTTTATTTATTAAAACAGCGGCGACTCCCCTTCCGGTTGACTGCCACTTTTCTTCTTCTAGCCTTATTTGTTGTTGCTAATATTTTTTTTTTTTTGAATCGCAAAGCCAAAATCATACAACAAAATGAGATTTAGTGCATGAGAAGACAGGGATTCTCAGGTATATCAGTGTATTTGTTGCTTGAGCCTATTGAACTTCCTGTGTTTTCGTCATTTTACAGTTGTCATTGCAGCAGAATTTTCAGTATCAAATATGATACGGGTCAAATATCGGGGCTTCATAGTGGGTTCTCTCATTGTTATGGAATTGCCTATGCATTGTTTGAGCACTCTCAGATTACAATCAGTGTGTTTGGTTTGAATTTTCTGGATTAAATTTTTTGAAAATTGAGTTTTTTGATTTTCGTATTCTTTTATTTTTAGTGAATATTTTTTAAATTTTAAACATTTTTTTTACTTTTTTAGATGCACCTTTGTTAGATGTATCTAAAAAATAAAAAATTTGTGAAAAAATATTTTAAAAAATTAATAAATACATAAAAATATAAAAAAATGTACTGAATTCTTGTATTTTTTTTATATTTTTGGTATTTAGTGAATTTTTAAAAGATTTTTTTCACAATTTTTTTACTTTTTAAGTGTATTTATGTTAGGTGTGTGTAAAAAGTAAAAAAATTGCTTAAAATATTAAAAAAAATTCAGTAAAAACAAAAAAATACAGAAAATAAGAAAGTAGAATTTTTTAAAAAGTATTTTCTGAAAAATGAAAACAAACAAGCTGAATAGTGCATCAAATAATGTACCATGGAAGAGTCAAACTAATTTCAGTGTTCTTAATGAGATTTCTATTATTATTCGGTTCTCTCTTAATGGCTAATTTACTTGTGTTGTATAAAACTTTTACTCCTATTATTGAAGGTGCTTCCTTTTGAGACATGTTGTGATACGAAATTATCAATAGCGTTCCCCATGTTCATATATTAGGGATAACTCGTACTTAAAGGCACTTTGAGCAATTTTTTTTTTCTGATGCACTCTATAAAAATTAATTAAAAGAAATCAATAATTTTACTGTGTTATAGAACTCAATTGTAATAAATCAATCCAAAATGATAATAATTTTACCGCTATATAAAACTTTGCACATAAGATGCCTTTTAGTAAACTTTATAATTAAAGTTTAAATAGCAAATTTTAGAAATAAAAATGTTACAGTATTTAGCATAAGCAAAGATAGAATAATGATATATGTATAAATTGATATATCAATTAGTATACTAACAGATGATGTGACATAATTTTAAAGATTTTGAGTCTTTGTAATTTGTATAATGAGTGGGGTCATAATTTTAAAGTAACAATGTCATAGCATATATTGGTACACTAATTGGTATACCAATAGACGCGTATAGTACTACTGGCAAAGATATCCACGTTAAAATGACACGAGCAAAGATATCCAAGTTAAAATGGCACATATATGAGATAACTTTCAATAAAAGAATGTGATTATCAAACTAACTACCAGCAATTATCACATTCACACTTCAACATTTTTTTCATGTTTAACATACATGTGATTCCTCATAGGAGGCTAAAGAAAAAAACTCATTTAAAAAAAATACCATACAAAAAAAAAAAAGAAAAAGAAGGTCAGATTTGATAAAATAAAAAAAGAGGTCAGATTTGATAAAATCCAAACAAACTATTGGTGACAAAAGGTAAGAGGCAAAGCAAACTACTAGATTAAGACTAAAGGAATAACACATCTAGCAAATAACCTGTGCCTGAAGAAATTTCTCAATATAAAAAAACTATCTAGTGCAATTTAACTGAAATGGTTATAGATTTATTTTTATTATAAAATCTGCGTCAAATTGTTTAGTATAGTTTTTACCTACAACTTAATAAAATCAAAATAACTTAAATAAGTTAAAAAAATAAATTATCTAAAAGTTAAGTGAAAAATATTTTTAATTTTTACTTTTTACTTTTTGATTATAAACTTCCAATTTATAAATGTGACAATAATCTAATCCAACGCAAATCAATCACAGTTGAAATTAAATACTCTGTGCAATTCAAATACTCCATCAAATCGGCCCCAAGCCACACCGACTGACTCCCTTAATTTAACAATTTAATATGTCACTAATTATTTTTGTCTAAATGATGCAGTTTATATGAACACACCATTTTCTATCCAATCCCACAACCACTAAAAAAAAAATTGCAAATAATTTGTTACTTCAGAGCGGCGCCCGCCTTGGGGTAAGACAAGCAAGGTTTGTACCTTGGACTCCAAAATTTAGTCTAACCAAATTCATTAGCCTCTTACCACCGGGGGTGGTGGTAACGTGGCTTGGGCACTTGCCTTCCACGCTTATGATCCAAGGTCGATTCCCTGGGAAGTGCTTGCTTGCTTTGACTTCGGTCTCCGCGCTTTACCTCTCTCAAATCTCGGGCTTAGGCTGTGAATGAAAGGTGAGGTCCATTGTTACCCTGGTGGTGGATCCCTACCTATGAGTTGGAGTAAATTAGGCCACATACCTGAACTTGGGGTGTGCAATGATGCCTCCAAGGAGCACCCTTTTTTCTAGTTCAAAAAAAAAAAAGAAAAATTCATAAGCCTCTTGTAATATATAAAAAAAATTCAAATACGCCCAATCCCTTTTATTGATTGAGGCTCAGTTTAAAGGTGTCCAAAAATTCCTGTTAGGCTCAATTTGAAACAAAAATCATTTATAAATTTTGTTGGCCCAATCTGATTTTATAAACAACCTTCTTCAATATTCATTCTCCCTTAATTGAGTTTTGGTTTCATTTGATATTTAAACAAATATATCCATCGTTGTTTAAAATAATCTCCATATTCATTCTTCCCTAATTGGTTTTTGGTTTCATTACAATTAAATTCATTATATATATATATATATTTGCTAATAAATTATTAGTTCCAATCATTTTTTTGGGTATACTTTTTGCTCTTGGATTTTTTGCTTATTCTATGCGTTAATTTAATTTTTGCTATTATTATTTGCTTTGTATTTATAAATTCATTAAAGATTTACTCTGTGTATTGTTCTCCTTTGACGTAGTTATTGTCTTTCTACGTTTTGGTTCAATCATTACTATTGTGCAAGAAAATATATTCTTTAAAATATTTAAATATATCATATTCTCTCTATTTCAATGTGTCTTGAGACATATTCTTCGCAAATATAAAGGGTTTTTTCTGTACATAATTTGCATATGTAAGTTGATTTTTATGAATTGTGGATTGGAATATAATTTATGTAAACATGCTTTAAAAAAAAAGTAGTAGAAAGTAGAAAAATTAAGCAACATGAGTAGATTTTATCTTTAAATTATTCCCATCTTATTCTATGTAACTAAATTTTGTGTGTAACATTATAATTAATAGGGATGTAAGAAAAATCGAAAAAATCGATCACATTGATTGAACCGGATCAAACTTGCTATCTTTGGTCTGTTTTTTAACAACAATCAATCTGTGCAGTTTTTAAATTTGATTTTTTTTAAATTTGATTTTTGGTTCGGTATCAGTCCAAGTATCTTGTGCACCAAACTAAATTGAAATTGACCACTTCAACATATATTCAACATATATTGTTGTAGACGCGCCCGCGTGGGGGCCTTGCTACTACAGTTCGGACTCGATTTGTGTCACGGTTCTTAATCTTGAACCAAAGAGTCCAAATCTGGCAAATCGTTTTGAGAAAACAGATTTTAGGAAAGAAGTGCCAAACATGGACTGCTTTGCCAAATACAGAGTCGCCACCTAAATATTTTTTATGGGGAAATTTAGAAAACCCTGACTCGGTGCCGAAGGCCACATGTTCGTCATCACCAGAATTGCCTTGGCTCGGGAGGCTCGGGAGCTAGGGTACGATTGGGAAAGGTCAGCTATGAGCACCCCCTCTCGCCCGATCCGAAGATCAGCCTCTACTAACCGTGATATCCGTTTTTTTAAAACATTATGTGTTCTTAAACCATTTATTAGCCTAGAATTACTATGTTATGCGCACAGCAAACAAGTATAGACTAGATTGCCTAATTTGGAAAGAAACATTGCATATCCGTTTGTTTTGGAAAATGTTTTGGAATTTGCTACTCGCAAGTAGGCTAAAATACGGATTTCAACGAGTTTTTCCAACTCAAACAATCCAACCTTCACCCACAGGCATTCAAACAGTTTTATCACATAAGCATCTAGCCACATGCTAAGTATGCTATCATGTTAACATTCACACACATGCAAGATGCTAAAGCAT